GTACTACATGCAAGGAGGCTGCTAAGGAACCAAACTCGTCTGAGTATATTACTTGACATGAGAAGCATACTAACTGTTTAGATCGTAGCATGTTATTCAGGGGTAATATAATACATCAGAACAACCCATAAAGGAGATAAACGAGATTGCTACTAAGGAAAAATGAACCGTGCCCAATTTTTAAAATAGCTAACAGCATAAGAAAGGGTTAATGTATTAAATCATAGAATTCAGATATCATCATATTTAAGCGTAGTTGTGTTAATGTACTTCGTTTGCTCATGTTAATAACAGCGTGACCTAGTTTAATATAATATTGCACCAAATGTTTATCTTTAGACACTGTAGTTATGTTAGGCATCTCAACAAACAGTGATCTGATGTTCGTTGGATCTAAAAGATACGAATTTCGTAATGCTATGAGAATTTCTAGTCTTCCTTTAATACTATCGGTATCATATACATGGTAGTGTACATTTCCATCACATGCAACAGTTTCATATGGTATCCTGTAATTGATACATATTTCAATAATAGTATTAAGACACATTATACCATCATTACTCATACAGAGTATAGATGGAAGATACTTGTAAATAAAGCGAGGTCCCTTGGTGTCCCTAACTAAAATATCAGCTGTATCCATTATCAATCTGGTATTTTCTTCATCACAACCTTCACTGAAGATATCGAGTATATATTCTGCGGTTACCTTTCTGTTGAGGGCTGTAAGTGAATGTACCATTGCAATTACATATAGTCTCTGTGTAGCTGTATATGTAAGCAATCTTCTTATAATATGATCAAAAGTAGGTACTGTTAACATACCACATGTATCTAGATCAGACATCAGATGATACATAGGTTTACCACCTATACTGCTACTCAAGTAAAGAACGTCACTAATATTCTCCTGTGTTTGGAGTAATCCACTGCTAGCATTGCTCATGATTATAAATATGTTTATAACTACCTTCAGCTTACTTCCTGATATTATACTAAGATAATCGTAATCAGCTGTGGTTAGCTTTGGTGTGTATCGTGTCAAATTGTACAGATCAATCATGAAATCTCTCAAACAGTATCTGCGAGACATGATTGTATAAGTGATATATATCGTAACAATAGAAATATCCTATAGTGTAAGTTAGGCGACTCATGTCGCTTATCATACGTGTTCATAATGTCGCAGTGCGTGGCATGCGGTACGCTATTGAAGGATTTCGAATATCAATCTAGAGCTGCTGATGAGGCACATACCACTGTTACGAGTTGTCCTTGTTGTCCTATCAATCCCAATAAGTTAGATACGGATACTATGCCAAGATCCTCGTTTCGTGGCATGACTAGACCTGTCAGAAGGTCATTACCGATAGTACGAAGAACTGGATCTCATGTGTCTAATAGTTACGTCATCTCTGTAGATGTACCTAATAATCATGAGTTGTACGATGTCAATCTAAGTTTACACTACTTGGTGCAACAGGTATCATTACATAAACGCAGTGCATCTGATCAAAGTGGAAATACACCAGAGAATGTGTACTATTCCATGTCCGGATTGCTTGAAGGTCAGTCATCTAAACTTAAGGAAAAGATTAACATCGGTATGGGAATATCACTCGAGACATATGAGATTTTCAACATCGAACCACCAACAGCTAACAGACCCGTAGCAAAGGCGAGCTTTAAGTTCTACGCTAAGATAGAGAATTTTGAATGTCACATATATTCGTATTACGGTAGTAAAACTAGGCAGCTAGTTTTACAGATAGGAACATCAATGCCATCATCCACTATTCTGGAAAGAATAGTAAATTCTGTATATAGTTTAGGATTTCTACCTAAGTCCGTGAATCAATATATATCCAAGAGTGATATACTCAGATTATCTAATCTAAGTCCACGTGCATGGGATGCTAGTTCGCCACCTACAACATCATATACTTTTACATCCAAACCTGACGGACAACGTATGTGGCTTATATGGTACGGTAACATATGGTACGCGTGTGAACCTAAATGCAGAACTGGTATGTTACAATGGAAATGGACATCAAGACATCAGAATACAACACTCCCCGTGGTTCTCGATACTGAATACATGTTGTCACGAGGCTTCATATTAATTGATTTCCTAACGGATGCATCTGGTACTATGGCACCTATATCCCGCGATATACAATGGATAACATTGCAATATGGTCATCTCCTGAATGCATGTGATGATGTGAAAATACAGATAAGAGAATATTTCCCGGATTATACCTGTGCACTGGAATATTGCACTAAAGTACCATACCCTACGGATGGTGTCGTTGCTATTCGAAATGGAAGTACTGAAATTCTCAAGATCAAACCATTCAAATCAATGGAGCTGATAGTAGTACCAAACAGATTCTTAGCGACAGCAGACGGTGATAATGTAATCCAACTACCGGATGGTATTGAATATGACACCAATGCTATAGTAGAGGTTAGATTTACTATGAAACCTGATGGTAAACATATTGCTGTGCACGATCTGTTCGAAAGACCGGATAAACTTGTAGCTAATGACAATAATGCTGTGTCTAATATTATACGTTCAGGACTTAAGTTAACCACGCCAGATGACAATGAACGTAGAACTGCGTTACTGTGGTGTAACAATATCAGACGTACAATTACCGATCTCGCGGTATCTAGACATTCTAATAAGTCTATAGTAGTAGATGTCGGTACCGGTGTAGGTCAGGGTATCGATACTATACCTCGTTTAGATACAACATCTTATGTTTTCATAGAACCAGATGAAAATAAATGCAGGATACTCTCGAGGCGTATTGGTGCTAAGCGTATATATAGAGATCCGTACGAACTGATACCTGCCATACGGGGACTGAAAACACGAGCACTACCCAGTTTAATTATCAATTGTACTCTCGGTGATATATTAGACGTTGAAGATGTAAGTAGCGCATTATTCTCGGAGACGAAGAGCATAATAGCTGCTTTCAGTGCACATTTTGTTGTTGGTGATCTACATGACATATATACATTATATCATATCCCGATCTATGCGTGTATGTATGTTTATGACAGTGTAGATCAGAACGGTGTTCTCATAAATACCTGTGGTGTAGAGATGCGTACAGTAAATGACGACGAAGCCAGTGTTAAATGGGGTGGAGATAAGGTGTACATAGAACCAATCACTGTAAAGAGGGACTATGCAGGATTGGGCAATATAGTACCTGGATATGATATCTGTAATTTACCTGACGGAACATTCTCATCAAATGCAAATAACATCTGTAGAAACGTGTCACTTATCATACCATAATATATTTTTGATACCGTTGCATATTTTAAAATATATACAACTACGTTGTACTAAATACGGTGTACTAAAATGCCAAAACTACGTTCATCTCTTGCTTACCAAGCATGTAATGCATATGATGTTAGACAACAACTATGTAAGATAACAAATCCACATGACTTATCAAACCTATTCAGAGCATTAGAGTTGCAACCACGAAACCGAGAATACGAAAAGTATCTGAATGTTATCAATTATATATTCCATATTGATGAACTACGAAAACTAATTAACAATAAAGAATGTAGAGTTATCATACTAGGTAAGGACTTAGATTCTATCAAGACTCACATAAAAGTCAAGAAAAATGAGTGGAGTGATGATATGTACAACAGGAACTATATTGTACATTGCATAGTTATATGCTTTACAAGACATGCTCATCACCATTTGGAAAATATAGTTCAACAAAGAAGCAGAATACTAGTTCGTATATTTGAGTTTAATTTAGCTGGACTCTATTTTGGTGATGGTGGTATCATCTTTATTGGTAGTATATTGTGTATATCAATGAACAGTATATTGAGAGTGACCCATCTGGAAGAAAATACATGGATACAAGAATTAGTTGCACTACTACCTAACCTACGGTCCATTTCGTACATTACTAATTCTGATGAGTACTGGAGCATTGAGAGTAGCACAGAAAAACCAATGATACTTACAGAACCTAGAATGGCAGCTCCACTCAATTTTGAATCTGTAAATACTATGATAATATTTACACGCTATGAAAGATTCGATTCTACACACTTCCTCGAAGGTTATAAGTTTGTTTTTTAAAAAATCTGTTTGTGCTAAATATCATTGTACTTAATCATCCTCTGCGAAACCTGAAAACTTAGCTTGTCTGCGTAATGCGGGTGGTGCGGGTACATCTTCCTTATCTGATTCGCTCTTACAGTCAGAATCATCAGCGTGAGATTGAGGACTACTAAATACCTGTTCCATACTGGGCGTTGGTCTCATAACTTGTCCGTTGACACGTAATATATGTGCTTCATTAGAACCTGACGCTGCTGTACTTGGTCTTCGATGTCTGCCACTACCGTTAGTTCTATGTTGCAATGAAGTATGTTTATGTGACTTAGACACCGGTCTGACTTCATCATCCTCTGCAAAACCTACATGTCGAGTACTAAACTTAGAAGAAGATACAACAGAAGACGCTCTATTCCTAGCTTTCTCGGTAGCATAATTAGTAAACTTGCGACCATTATGGAAAGTAGACGCATTCGACGGTGCGCGAGAACTGATCTTAGCTCCTTCTGGCCACATAAAGCAATAGCTGTCATCAGGATCAGCAACTGGAGCTGGTAGCCTAATTCTGATATTCTTGCTACACATAAAATAGTTATATATATCGGTAATCATATTTACTGTCGTAGTAGGATCCAATCCATCTGTATATTTAGTATCGTTAAGCATTGCACATATATTTCCAACTGTAACTTCTGCATCATATTGGCTAGGCTTGCTACTAAAGAAAGACATTGTTGTACTTACTCAATTACTGTACCAGCATGTGAATTCCACCAACTAGTTAGTGTGCTAAGCGACATGTTGTCGCTTTCTATTTCTGTAGCGGTTGATATACATGGTACCTGTGTGTAGTTAGTAGTTATGGATTTCCACAATCTGGTTAGTGCTTGTCTTCTACTAGGTGAAGCATCATTCCACATAGATTTGTAAAGATATGATGTTGTATTCACTACAAATTCTACCGATGGTCTTCGAGAATCAATACCAGAACCTATTTCAGACAATTTTCTGAACCAGCATAGTGGATCTCTAGGATCAGATCTGAAGTAGTACTGAAGTCTATCGTAAACCTCTGGTACAAAATCACCCTTTGACCAACCTACTAATCCAACTACTGTAGTACCGTTGAGTATGATATGTTCAGGTGCTAAATTTCCATGGCACATCACTGCCTTACATACGTAATTGTCATTTCCTTTCTCCTCCCAATCTCCTTCATTTAAAAGGTTCTTCAATTTGTCCATTAAAGCCCTGGTACGCAAATATCCAATAGGAGAGTTTGTCTTGAAGTTACCGTCTTGAATATGACCGAAGTGGTTGGAAGTCTTCTCAGCTAGCTGCCATATTATAGCCTGAATCTGCATAAAGATAGCATCCAGATCATCGCTGTCTAGTGATGACATCACTGCCTTCAGAGTCTGACCTTTTATGTAGCTTCTCCTACCAATACTTACATGTGTGTTATGATAGGTAATTATCTCCTTGTTCTTATATACTGGTGCGGCGATAACCCCTTCAGCAGCTTTCGTAGCTATATGGTCTCTACTGTTGATATCTCTCAGAACCTTACCCCACTTAACCACCAGCACCTCATCGTTATCAACTCCACCATAATGTATATGTACACACACACTATTGGACGATTCGTAGATTATGCTATAGTCTTCGGCGTTATCTACTTCAAGATGTAAAGGTTCCTCCTCACCTACATCAATGTATATACCTGCTTTTTTGTGGTGTCGAGACGAATGATGAGATCTGCGACGCCTTCTTCCGTGGTGTTGCTTATGATTATTACCGAAGCTGAGGCGATGACCTATATTGAAGAGAACCATTGTAAACTATAGCTGACACACAGTCGAATACTACAAGATCGTAAGGTACAACAATAGAAACACAATCCTGTTCTGTAGTACATGTGCACAGCAGCCCTAGGCGCTGGCACTTGGTACAGCACCGTATCACCACCTTATCACCTCTATTGCTAATTTCATCATCACAGCTCTGCAAACCAGCAGAGGAAGTTGATTGCGCTTCCATCTCACCCCATGCAACACCTCCACCACGGGCTCTACCGTCTGGTGTGCGAAGCGTGAATTTGCCTGTACTAACATGCGATACTTGATGGCGCTCTCTTGACATTTGAGTTTGGTTCATAACCCTGTTGAATCCAACGGTAACTTTGGTATTCTCCCACTTAGCGTTACCATCCTTATCAAATACTAGAGTACGGTATGGTTCACCTGTAATCCCAGAAATTGCAGTAAATTCATCATTAACATCACTAGTTTCGCATGGTTGTATAACAGCAGATGTCTGCAAATTATCATGCACTACGGACAATGACTTTACCGCCTCGTACAATACACCATTTGTTTGACGTGTAACAACTGATGACATTGCCATAACTATATCAGGTACTATAATACCATGTTTGGGGCTATATGCACGTGGCATATTCTCGTATGGAGTAGGTACAGCAATACCTTTCTGTCCGTGCCCCATGGACAACTTATCACCGGGTTGTAGTTGTTGATAGCTCTTGACTCTCACATTAATGTCTCCAGAGTTAAGATGTGTAATCTTGTGAACCGTGCCTGTAGGCTTATATCCTACAGTAAACTTACTACCAGAAGCTAGCACATCCTTATCATGAGTACACCACTTCTGGCATGGAGATTTCCACCATTTAGATAATACACCACATAGAGTGGATCCTATTGGAGGTATATATTCACTTTGAGGTAGATTGTAAGAGCATAAAGAATATGTACTAAAACCACCATTATCAAGATATCTCTGTGATACGATTATAGCATCCTCATAGTTGTACTCAAGATTTAAGAACATACACATAGCATTCTCTCCAGGCAGATGACATGATATCGTTGCATCATCGTTAGACAGATCATGCATAATGTTCTTATACAAAGGTGTGGTAATTATAGGATCAAAACTATAGCACGGTTGCACTGCAGCATTTCCAGGACACCATACAAGACATGCTGCTTGAGGGGTCTGTACTGATGAAATCAATGGTCTTGGTGCACGATCACTCGAGATATATGGTACGAGATTAAAGAAAGCAGAGAAGCATGCTCTGTGCTGATCTCTGCCCTTAGTATTTATTCGAGGCTTTATACTAGTTCTGAACCTATCAGATATATGTGTTTCGATATTATCAGCGTAATATCCCGAACTAGTACGTTTAACAAGTGTACCGGAAGAGATAGATATATTCACAAATCTTTCTGTTGTGTTTATATGCAAACTGAACTTAGTAGGTCCCCTAATGCTTTGTATCCTATGAAAAGAACACAAGGCTCCAAATTCATCATCGTTCAATTCACAATACACACCCATGCAAAAAACTGTCCACATAGAAAATGTTGCACGTCTAGTGCTGTTGGCTGCAATATATCGATATGCTGCAGCTAAGTTGGATGTTGTTTCATAATTGAGATATCTAACAGAAGTGCTACATGTTACGCGTCTTACCCTACCCGCTTCTGTAGAATGTGATGTATGACCTGCACATATAAAACCTAAAAATTCTGGTTTGTAGCTTCGCATATCTTTGTTAGGTACTTTCTGTTCTTCACCAGGACTCATATCAATGCATTCATTGTCATGTAATGATCCCAGTAGTCCTACGGATACTGCTGCGTTGTGTGGATAAAGGAATATACTTTCATAGCCTACATTATCAGTAAAATGACTAGCTTCCATAGCAGCATGAGTAGTATTAGCGGATAGTGGCGCAGGTGTTGCGTTGTATAGCTTCAATAGTATGCTTAGCTCTTCTGGTGTAACTGGAATGGATCCCTGTCTCCAGGGCATAGCATCTTCCCCTGTAAAGAGGTACTTGACAGTATTGGGAACGGCCCACAGTCTACCTGTCTCCAAAGCATCAGTAAGCAACGTAGAGAGAACGTCACATAACGAATGAAAACTGTTGCATCGTTGTATAGGAAAACAAATAATCTCGTTGAGATTTATATGACCGACTATATTGTTAAACCTATTAAGACAAGGTATCTGATCTGCAGATTGAGCAGCACTAGCTTCGGGTAATCTGTTGGAAACCCATGAAGCACCACCGTTGTCTCTATACTCGATACATGCGTTACGAAGCGTAAGGTGTTCTTTGATTGATGCTGCATTTATAGCAGAGTAGTTAGAAGGAAGAGAAAAATCTTTGAGTTCTTTGCCGAAATCCATCTTGTTCTGTAATTATGAAGCAACTACGTTGCATATTACACTAGGATTATCATATTGTAAATATACTATACGCACAGCCTCACTCGTAGTTCACGAGTGTCGGGGAAGAATGGTGCTACAAGAGGACGATATATTCTCAGTCTCTACATACGACGACGACAATGTGAAGGATATGTTGAACAGTGATCTGTTTAGAAGAGAATGGACTCTGGTAGGTACTGCACCACCGCTGACTAATGGTAAGGTTTCTAGCATCACTGAGCACCTCATCTTAAATTTTCACCAGGTAGATGAGAACACCACTGACAAGGAGATTTCTGCAGTTAAACCCAGACCGCTAGTACTAAAGCACAGCACTGATTGTCAACTCGAAATGCTACCGATATATCCAAGTATTCTAGGACAGTACTACGAGTACTTTAGCAGGTGTGTTGCTACACGTAAAGGAGACTACTTGCTGAACGTATGTACTAGTAGAAAGAAAAGTCCTTGCATTGATATTCCAAACTGCGTCTTAGCTGCAGTTCCCGGTAAGTACACAGGAAATTTGGACTGCTTCACAGTTAAGGATATCGGTGCTAAGAGATGTATAGTATATATACCGCAGTCTATCATCTATGATATCATATGTGTTCTCAATGAGGTAGGTTTGATCATCTTACCGTCTATGCATGACGGATTGCCGTACAATAGCATCAGAACGCGTTTATCTGATCTATGTACCGAATGCAACATTGAGGATGATATATGGTCTAAGAGTTCACGGTATCTGAGAGAATTCTCGAAGTACGCACCATGTTCCGCAGTTACAACTGCTACACTTACCGTATCATTCGTATTGAGCACAGTACAAGGTCCGAAATCCCGCTACCATAACAAGAAGTCTCTTGACATAGTAGTACATGCAATCAAATAGATATGGGTTGTTGCAAACTTAAATCTCTGTACATAAAGGAGCATGTTGGCAAATGTAAAGTAGACAAAAGTTATGAGCATAAGCGTTCACAGTATGCAGCGATAGATTCGCATACATCACATAGGGAACTTCCTATCATCAACCCAAGCAATTTCGGATCTGAGAGTACAAGTGTTAGCGTTTGCATTAAGGATAGTTTTTCTCTGCATGCTACTATACTGGCTATAGTAGGTACATATTCAAATGCGGGGAATCTTATATTTTTTGTTGAGAACAGTAAGCGGATGTCGGAAACTATAGATGTAGTTTCAAGTTTCAGAATCAAGTATTCTGCTGGTACGACCGTTAGCGTATGTCAAAGTTCTGTGCGAGAAGGATGTTTTATGATAACTGTACATGAAATCTCTAAATCTTATACAGTACCTGGAGAACAGATGATGTCTATAGTTAATGACCTTGCATCAGGCGACAAATCTATGATATTCTATATGTATGAAGGTGCAATAGGATATTCCAACGCGGTGCTTGCATCACCCAGTAGCATGTGGGTCTCGGTGATATCTAAGGTTTTGAACATGTCAGGTATGGGTGGACGCAGATTTATGCCAATGTTTTACTCACCTCCCGACGAGAATACTATGGTAAGCATAAATGTTGGAACACCTACAGTAGATATTAGCTCTAATATCGACAAGGTTAGTCCTCAATATAACTCGATAGTATCTGGAGCTGTATCTTCTGTATCGAAAGATGGTCTATGTTACTACTGTGCGTATCTGGATAGCATACACTCACATCTATGTACAGAGAAAAAGATGGAATTTGAAACTAGTCTATTAGGACAGTTCTCGGAGATGTCAGAGCAGTAAGCAGCAACGCTGCTCAATGCACTCTTAAAATATGTCTAGTGATGTTTATAAGCTTTTAAGAAATAGATGTATCGATCTCATAAATGAGCTTGATCTAACTAACTCATCTAAACCTTTTGTGCTACCTCTCATACGTTATATTCTTGCAATTCCATATGCATTACCAATACAACATCTGATATTAGGTGAAAGACCATATGGAACCGATATTTTCCCATATGCTGCGTCAGCGATGTCCTATGATCCTATGCTTCAATTAGATCCTACACCTTCAGTTAATTTTCTTGCATTAGACATTAGCAACAATACCGATGTTAGTTATGATACTGCTATGGAGTGGTTTAGAGATAGTTGGAAATATTTGAAATATGGAGTGGTAGCATTAAACGTATGTACATTGCGTATTTTTATGGATGTCAATTCAGAATCTGAGGTAGTTGCTATGGAAATGTTTCTCAAGGACATGTTAAATATTTCTAAGAAACTCTCTAAGGAGAAGATTCATGTATATGCTATGGGTAATCCTGCTAGACATAGTGCAAAAAGACTACGTTCTAGCATACCAAATTCCAGCGGTACGGTAGTAGTTCATGAATGTCACAATCCCGCGTCCTTTAAGCACAAGGTAAGCGACCAACGGTCGCACACATTTACATTGAAAACACCTAGACTCACCAAGCTACTTTCAGCCTTGGTAACAGATACTAACGGAGGTAATCGAATCGCTACGGTGCACGATTATTTCATTATGGCATCTGGACAGTCCAGTGAGCTTGCTAATCTTACCAACAGATCTAGTAATATGAAAGATATTTTTGATGATATCGCATCATATTTTAAGAATAACACAGGTAAGACTATCGAGCGAAATGAGGATCTATTTGCTAGAGGCGCACAGGAAATGAAGGAGTTTACTCTTGCTCTGCAAAGTTCTAAGATTCAGCTGATGTTTGCCAACGTTACTGAACCTAAGAATACTGCCAAACAAGCATACTACAACTCTCGGCAGCAGCACAGCAACAGATCATTCCAACGAGGAACATCTTCTAGGTTGTCATCCACTGTAGGCAACTCAGCTAAGAAGAATATCGGTTTTGCTGACGATTCTGATGAAGAGACCAAATCTAAATCTACAACTCAACCTGCTACTCCCATAAAGGAACCGGCCACACCTACTCCGATGCGTGGTTCCGCCATTAAGAGTGAAAGGTCTACTGGATCTCACGTAGGTTTTGCTGATGATTCCGATGATGATATGGTATCTAAGGTTAAGCAGCCTACCATCTTTGAGGAGCCTCCATCTGGCAACAGTGTTCTGAGCGATGATGAGGTTATGGATCTTTCGTTTGTATGTGATTTCATTAATGAACATGAGAATGACTACGATGTTGATGCTTTCACACAGGAGTTCTTGGATAGTGCCAGAAAGTCTAAGAGGGCTGCGTCAGGTCCTGCTCTTGAGCTCCTCTTAGTTATCCGCAAGATGCGAGAGACTAGCGGTCCAGATAGTATTCCCACTGCTCTGGGTCTTGACGAGAATGGTAACGTCGATACAGTCAGCGACGTTGTACAATGGATTTTAAATCAGAAGAAAAGTTCATAGATTCTTGGCGTTCCTTACAGCTAACATAGGCTTAGTTCCGTTAACTAAAACTTCTCTTGCGTATTCCTTCTTCTGAATATCATTGAGTGATTTCACCATATCTACGAGAGCTTCACTTCCAGGCACCTTGGGATCAGTGTTGGTAATATTCAACGTATTTTCTGTAGTAACATAAGGAAAATCAAGGGTAGCTAACTGTTTAGACTTTGATAATGTTACAATTCCAGGACATCGCAATATACGCTTACGCATTTCCTCAGCATGGGATGTAATTGTAGGACATGTGTTGCATAGCTGAGTTATGTGTTCAATCTTTAAAACTACTTTTCTTCCTAGAGTATCTGATGCAATTAGGTCGAGAGATTGTTGCACATCAAAGGACTGGAATTTGGGCAGCTGAAACTTATCAGTAAGCCTCACATGCTTCACAGCATTTGTCCATTCCTTCATTCCAAAAAGCACGGTACTGTTTTCATTAAAATTTCCTAGATTATTAGATACTAGTGTGCACAGATGCATAAGAATACATCCCACTACAGCCTCAGTATTCTTGATCTGATAATCATAGAAGTAATATGTTGTGTCAGTACTAGTACCGGGTGCCTGTCTGCTACGCACAGTTGGAGAACTAACAGATATAGAACCTAAATTACGTGATGAAGAGATAGCATTAGATATCTGTTGCATAAAAGCTAACATATCTGTATGACGTTTCTCATCTCTTGTAGCATCATCATCTCTAGCACTGTTAAAACTGACTAGAAGATCTCTCATGATAGTATTACTCTCATCGAGTCTGTTGGATAGATCACTTAACCCCTTGCGTATATCCATAAGTACAAGTAGCGGTGTTTCTCCTCCGATGCTTCCTGCTGCCGATCTTCCTGTGTCATTTGCTTCCGTGAATTTGTTCTGCTCTTTCTTTCTATCAAATTTACTTAGAACTTCAGCGTATTGTTCTGGTTTCACGGTAAAATCATTAGGATTTCGCTCCATGGTGTACGATGTGTTTGGCGCAACAACGTTGCGTTAAATTTACACGAAAATGTCACAACAAACTTCATTGTTCAGATCATCTAAGACACGAAACTCTAGGTCTCAACAGCAATTAAAGTCTACATTACTTGCACACAAGCAATCTACCTATGCTAAAGTTTCAAGCGAAAAGCAATATCATCAAAGTTATGGAATAGATCTACCTGAAACATCGATTCATTTGTTGCAACCTTTACTTGATGGACTTACCGGTACATACCAACCCGTGAATGCAGAGACTCGGATGTTATATACTGTTGCTACTTGGAAGCAAGGTTATGATGCTATATACAGATGCTGTTTTATACAACCAGAAATAGCTTCAGCTACATGTTCGTTCTCTAGTAACAGGAGAGCAGTAGCAGCTGAGGTATTGGATGGTGTATGTGAGCTTCTACCGCATGCAGCGAAATGCAATCTTTCTAGCGCATCGAGGTTTCCACAACTTTCCGGAAGGATGGTACCGTATGTTGTTGATAATCTACCGTTTAGTGTAACATGGGGGTTTGCTAATATATGTAAATCATATTTTCTTTTTATTGTTACAGACGTCGATGGTCCTCATCTAATGTCATTATCAAACTCATGTATGGAAGTGCTACAATCATACTTTCCAGATTATAGTGCTTGCGTAAGAGATTCAACTACGGCATTCAAAATAACCGTAGAACCCGAACCAGGTAGTAACGTCAATGAACCTAATAAGAATTCATGTATGTGTATCTACGGTGACGGTTCGTTTAGATACCAGGGACATCCTAGTGCTATGAAACGAGTGTGTCAAAGTTTTAGAACTGCATTGATGAATATTTCCGAATCTAAAGCGTGGCATAATTTTATTAATCGTCTCAATCCTGTGCCTCAGGTTGATCATATGGATGAAAGGTAGGTGGATCAAGATTCTCAATAAATCTTACAGCTGATAATATCTTCATGTCAGTTATCATCGCATCTCTAACAGATTTGGTACTACCGAACGTCCTTTCAATGAAGACATTATTCACATATTCTGGTTTCTTGTTTGGTGTTTTTCGAGTAGGTCTTCTTAAAATGATATTATTTATGTCATTGTTTCCACTAGAATGTATGTCTCTATGATGTAATTTATATCCTGTTTGTGATCGTGAACCCAAGCAGGATCGTATCCACATCTTTAGACTATAACTAGAACTGGCTTTCAATGTTTCGAGGTGTGACCATATAGATTCCATCGTTTTCTCAGACACACTCCTCATCTTAGTATGACTGACAGTATAAGATTGTGAGCATATGCAGCATATTGCAGTAGCACATATTTGAGCGGTTGTGTACGATGATCCTGATTTCTGGAGGCGTTTCATCAACGCATTAGACAACTCCAGTTTAGATGGACATGATACATATAAATCTGACCTGAGGATAATTATATTCCCCGTATCACTATCAGGCTTCTCGCTGTTAGCTTGAAGAATAAAATTATTTTCAGATACCAGCTTCTCGAACTCCCGTACGTACAGATCCATGGTATAAGTATGTATAGCAACTTATGTTGCTATCACTGATATATATTATCAACATTGTACTATGTTACATTAAATAAACATATCCTATAGGTTTTAAAGGAAATTCAAGAAAGAAATAGAGGAGAAGGGAGTGAGAGAGAGGCAAAGGTGAATAGAAGGGAATACACATTATAGATGTACTAATATTCTATGGAGAAAAGCAGATTTTAAAATCAGTTTAATCCGACATTACTGACATAAGATATAACAAAGGAAATTTCTATCCAGAAGAACAAACTAGTGGTTGGTAGTAAGATTATTAATAGCATCTAGAAGGTCCTGACCAACTATATCCTGCTTCGAGGCACGTTGCTGTGGGATCTGAGTTTCAACATTAGGAGGTTCAATATCTTGGTTGATAGCCTTGATAGCACCACGACTACAATCAGCAATAATACGGAAGGTATCGTTATCCTTCCTTTCCTTACCATCAGTGAGTGTAAGTCTTACAGAGAATACAAGATCAAGGTTAATTCTGGCTCCCTTGGATGTAGCATCAAAGATATGTTGCAAGTCCTTAACATCGAAATCACCACTTTCATCGACTGTACCAATGGAACCATCAGTGTTGTTGATAGTGGCCCACCAATCCCTATCAGTACCGGAGATCTTCTTGTCAAGATGGGTGGCTACAATACCCTCCTTCAGACAAGCCTTGATGATAGCATCGGCGACAGGCTTCTGCAGATTAGCATAGATGAAATCTTTTCCATACGTAGTATTCTTGTGGAAGGGAACAGGACACATAGCCATCTTCAAAATACGGGACTCAAATCCTTCAAACTTGAAGGTAACATTACCCCTCCAGTAGCGGTGGCCAGGGTTACGTTTGCGAGTGAAATCACTAGTAGTCTCGCGGAAGTCAGTGACAGCAATATCAATCTGCTTGAGTACATCAGAAGTCCATTCACCGCGGTTAGCGAACGGGTTCTTTCCGGTAGGGAGCTTCTCAGACATCTTGGAATAGGTATAATCAGTTAACTGTTGATCAGATACTAAGCCTGGTAGGGGCACTTTGGACATTACAGTATGTTAAGCAACTGCGTAAGCGTTGCCTTTCTGGCAATATGAACTTTAAGTATATGATATAGTAATACAAGCGACAACGTCGCATAATCTTACACAACATACAACATGGTTACTAACGGTACACAGAAGTTCTTTACTACTTTTGATACTCTTTCAATGTTATCATCCGAACTCAATTTAGACGATGCTATCAATACCATAAAGGCTTGCAGAAAGAATGCTGATGATTACGGTGCATTAGATAAGATTGAACGTAAACGTGTTGATCCTAAGACACTCTTCGCACAACTTACTGATGATCCCCAGGAGTTTATACTTCAGATGATGCGTTCAGATACTATACTTTCGGGTTCTCGTGCTGTAAACTATATCTATCCATGTTTCGAATGCGATGACTCCGACTGGGATTTCTACTGTCAACCAGCACATAAATGGAAAGATTTTGACAGTTATCTACTCCGTATAGGTGCTGTTCTTGAACCATCTACTGAACAATCTAAGGGACGCTACGCTAGATTTGAGGATATTAAGGTTAGGCGATATACACTAACAAGAAACTCAAAGAAATATGATATTCAGATCATATATCCGGAATCTAGATACAGGTCTGCATTCGAGAGCATCACAAAGTTCCATTCTACTGCGGTGCAATGTTTTATTACAGGATATGCTGCTATATCGATGTATCACGCACTTAGTGTTGCTGGAAAGAACATTGACTGGACTTCATGTAGGGAGAAACGTGATACTAAATCTACCATAAAGAAAACTATGCAATGTCCAGCTCATAAAGTAGAGTTATGTCTGGCAGAACAGGCTACACCAGCTTCACCAGGGGTGCGTAGCTGGGCTAGACATATTGATAGACTTCGAAGCGAATATGCTACGAACTGTCTTCGCATCGGTATACGTCGCGAAGGTGAGAGAGCAATGTATAGTACGACTACTGTAAGCACACCTCAGGAAGTTAGGAACAAATTGATATCTAATGGTACAGATGGTGTCATAACCGATGTAAACGACAGACTCCCTGAACATCGCAAGATTACCCTTGATACACTCGTAGATACAATAACTCTCGACTGCACATGTAAAGTCTGTAATCCATTGGATGAGTGTCTTGATAAGTATACATCGCGTGGTTTTAAGCTTATGGACAAAACAGGTGTAGAGAACTTCAAGTCATCATATACGGATGATAACATTATGGTGCGATGTCTGCACGAGAAGGATGTTTCTAGAGTATTCCCACTGTTGGATTATATTGATAGTGATGATATACGGCATGAAGCAGAACGTAAACTAAAGAAATTGTATAACATGCAATGGTATGAAGTTATTGGTGAGAACTGCAGAGGAACAATATCTGTTGATGCACCGGGAGGTAAGGCTAGTGCATTTAAATGGTATGAACGAGGAAATACTGTAGCTGGATCACGCATAGGATTTGCTGCTTTTATTGCACGTTCTGACACTGATGATAGTGACGATTAGGTGTTTTCTACTTTCTGAGTTTTTAAAAGATGTGATACGGTACGGACTAGAGTATACGCGATGCGTATAAACCTATCAATCTAAAACCATCGATAGAATTGGGATGTATAATGCTATTATAAGAAACGATCAATATTGCAATATATGTTAGATTCATATATTCTAACGGATTGAACTTCATAGTTCTGTCTGGTGACATTACCAAATGTATGTTCGTTGCATCTAGCTCTATGTTACTGCAACTCTCCTCGGAGTTCATCTTAGTAAGTACAACACCAATAGACTCTTTGAAATATTTGTGCTTCGTACTACTATCAAAGTGCATAAATTTAACTTTCATTTCAGTACCGTGCTATACTACATGCTTAATAGCAGTTTCTACATCATCATTGATGATTCCATCTTCTGGTACATCTTCTATGAATTTTGTAACTCTTTTCATAGGTATGGCAGTATTACTACGTAAATATCTGAATATTCTTTCAGTTTCAATAGAAGCTTGGGACATGACGTTCGACGTTAATGTATGTGTTACAACGTAATTGTACATTTTAAAAAGATATGTATGTTACATTCAACGTGGCATCAGACCACGAAGCATTTGTGTATCGCCTACCTTTATTACTGTTACCGGTGATATAAGTTTAGCCTTAAAGAGAATTTCTTCTGGCGAGAACTTGAGAATAGAAGATAGAATACGGAGCACCTCGATACCATCAAAATCTGTAATTTCACCTTGAGTTTCTGTTATATGATACAACGCTTCATCCATCTTTGATGCACACAATGTAAGAAGTAGCGACATAGGTGATACTGGCATATTATCATACATAAGTCTTACGTATATACAGAAACATATAAAATCCATTCTTGATTCTGGATCTTCTGGTACTATTGACGCAGGTATAGATAATGCCGCTACGTTCATGATAATACATACTACACGGCGCATAATAGCATCACTGTGGTATTGCGGTTGTTTCTCCACATCAACTATACCATTAGTAGCTAATGTTAATGAACAGTTAGTCTTACATGAAATATGTCCCACTCTGATGTAGTCACTGCCGCTGATGTTCTTGAATACTCCCATATTGAGACTATCTTTCTCTAGTTCAACATCATAGCATATAGCCATTCTAGATCCAGCAATGACTTCAGCAATATCAGGATGCATAGACTTAGTATATCCTGTAAGAGAACCATCGGGTAGAATACCACAACAACCTGTTAAGCATGAGTATATTTGTTGTATCAGAGTACTCTTCCCGGAACCACCCGGACCACATAACATAACAGACTTTGGTCTAGACACTGGGTCAACAAGGCAATTACCAACGTGCCATAGAATGGTCATCAGATCACGCATATCAGGAAACAGTCTGGACACATAGTGTACAATATCACCTAGACCAGGAAACTGATACACTTCAGGAATTGCTATAGTATCAACAGGCATGATACATACAGCTGCTACTGCTACATCAATCTTTGATGATATCTTGTCTAGTAGAGGTCTACATGGTTCAAATTTGACTATACCACTCTCTCTATCTAGCTCCAGTTCTAGACGCAATGTACCAATACATACACTAGTAGGAATAGGTTTACCTACTCTAGCGTTACAACGTTTAACGATGTACTTCAAAAATGCACGAATAGCTTTTTCGTAGTTTACAGTAGCATTGGTAATTCCTACTAGGCTATTGATACGAGACATAGCTTCAGATGAACCGAGATTACTCCAACAATTTGATGTATCTACGAATACATACTCACCTCCATAGATTCTACATACAAGTCCAGGTTTGTTCAACCATTTGTCTATATCATCGAATCTTTCCCTACCTTTAGTTTCTACCAGTGGTTTGTCCCATGAACCATCTACTCTCCATCGTAATTTACCAGACATGTCAGATGAAGTATTGTAAGCGTTACAACCTTGTTGTAGCTGCTTTCTTACTCTTTCAAGTACCTTACCAAGTAGATTCTCTCCCCACGAATTCATATGTTTCTGGGCACTATGTGCTTCATATCCTATACCCCATAATCTGTCATATGGACTAGCTTCAACAAGTCTAGTTGAACCAGTCTTAATTAGCATTTCATACAAGTTGCTGTTCTGTTCAAACTTTAGTATATTACCATCATGTACTATCTGTTCACAGTGTTTTCTCCATATATCCATCTTGAAGTTAGCTACACGTCTTCCCATTGTTCGATGTACTGATGGATGTGCATCGTATGTCCGTATTACTTCAGTCATAATGTTACTGTCACCGAAAAGTTTAGCTTTATGATACATCATGTATTGTTCTGATGTTCTGAATTTGTTGTCTCCATCCTGGAACGGTGCATGCATCCAGTTGCTAAGATAACCATAGTTATCCTGTGGTTTCCAGAAATAGATATATTCATCATTGTCCATAGTATGTGTATGTAAATTTTACAACTACGTTGTATAGCTTACTAACATTATGGTATCTACATACTGCTACGTTTGTGATCAACACATTACTTTAGGCTGTGAGCGCCTGATTTTTATGAAATGTTATAGCTGTATTGATACTTGTCTGTCTTCACAACAGATATATGATAATATAACTACTATCATTATAGAGAATAAGAATAATATATGTTTTAAAGATTTTGAAATAATTACAGTATATAAACACAGCAATATGAACAAGAATGTAACTGATTTAATTAAGAAACCTACGAGAACTATATTAAAGACAATGGTACGCGACATCCTTACAGTAGGTGATACAAATATTTACTCCAGATATTAATTACTTAAATGTACCAACTTCATGCATGCTATTGTTTGTATCACACCAGATTAAAGGGTTCATGGAAATATTTGATGTTCGAGAGCAGGTAATTATAGCAATCTTAAAATAATTACTGGCAACTCCATTACACTTACGGTTATATTCATTTATATGTAGCTGACATGCCTCCCTTCGCTTTGTAGTCTCTGAATCAGTAGGTGTTATGTCGATACGTGTACGTCTAGCAAGAAATTTCGTGTATTCAGGTTTAAATTCAAGTAGTGTTTTACACTTATAGTTCGTACGTTCTTTATTACCATACGTACCATTACCATTATATAGATTAGATACCATCTTGGCAATATCAAATCCCTCGTATATCATTGGAAATGGTTCTGGGTACCCTGTTCTGAGCAGCAATGCATTAGAGTCGAAGTTGGAACGGTAAACTTCAAATACAAATGTAGGAATGTTACTAGATGTATTCATATTTTCTAAAACTGTTTCGATACATCTAGCAATTATACTAACATCACGATGTATATCCATCATATATACAGCTAATATTTTTTAGATGTATGTGTGGCGACTACGTCGCTTATAATACTCTACACCCAACATGACTTTTAAGATTGCTCACGATACAAGCTATGTTGATTC